TAACTTTTGGTTTCATATTCAACAACAAACAATCAAAACCAGTTTTTTTCAGACACTATAATTGTTTTGTCTCAACAATTGTCTGAATTGTTGTCTGAAAAAAGAAGACAGGAAACTCACAAACCAGTAGATTTAGTGTTTTTCCTTTATAAGGTGGAAAACGAAATAATTGAATAATATTTTTCTCTTGTAAATTCCAGTCCCTAATAATATTTATCCCAATAAAGAACAAGGTGAACTTTCAGTGAGAAACCCAGCTTGTTCCTGAGGAGGGACAATTGGGAAACCTGATAAAGACAGATGGCAGGCTATTTTGTTACACCTACAATCTGAAAGAGCCTAAGCAAAAATTAGGTGAAGAATATTTTTGTAATTGACCTTTCAGTGAACTAACATAAATATTTTTTCACTGACAGGATGAAGGTGACCTTATGAAATTGGTTTGCTTGCTAAAATACCGTGAACTGAAATATTTTGTCATTTATAGAGTTAATCCATTTTACACTGGCATAAACAGGGGATTTCCTCCTCCCCCCCCCCTCCATTTTTGACACTACAGTGCAGCATTTTGAATTGAAACAGTCCATAATGGTTCTTTTTTTCCCACTTTTCCATAACAACATGAACACTAAATTATAGCAGTGCAATTATGTAAACAATGGAAATGCTTCCAGAATGAATACTTCCTTTTAAATTTTCATTTTGTGTAATTGTTGAAAGGTTTGGAGCCATAATAAACCAAAGTTATTTTACACATTTATCGTTCTAAAGGTCAATTATGAAAGAAGTAAAGAAACAACACTGTACAAAAACGAGTAAACCAATTTTTATTGCCATCACCATATGTTTTTCTTATTGCTTGTGTTTTTCCAGTTACTGTGTACATAGCATTCAATTAAAGTGATTCATTTACTAGGCTGTAAGCTGCTGAATACAGTTTATATTTATAGAACTGTGCTTTGAAGGGAAGGAAACAACTTGCCTCTATTTGAATTACCTGATTTTTTTGCAAGATCACTGATAGGACATATGTTCTCACTTGGTTGCTTTCTCATAAACCTGAATCCTTTGATAAGCTGCAAATCAACTGCATTACTATGTGCATCTAGCTTTTACCAGTAGATGTGCACACTGCATGAAAGTATGTCAATCAAGAAATGAAAGAGAAAATTTGACAAATTTCATCATTACTCTTTGTGTGTTTTAAAGGCTTTGTGCTATTTAGATTTATTTACATTACGTACATATTTTAGGCAAGGTTTTCATTTTATTTATGCTGAAATTAAACTGATTATTTTAAACAAAGCCAATAAAACTACTCTGGTTTTGCATTGGTAAAATGGAGACTAGAATCTGGCCATAGAATCTTTTTATTAAGTCAAAGACAGAGTTCAAGATAACTTATTCAACATGTACATAGTTAACTTTGATGCAGATAGCTGTGAATGTTATGTCACGGTAGCATGATAGGTGTTATGAACTTGTTTGTCTTGAACATGAATAGTGACAAAGAGAAACTGAGGGATTACTGTAGTGCAGTGATTCTCAACCAGGGTGCCATGCCTTGGGCTGCCTTGAGATCTTTTCAAGGATGTTGGAGTGTGCCACACAATATTAACACCGTTAGGTATGCAAACATGATTCACAATATAAAAATTGGGGTTTCAAGTAGCAGGTTTCAAATAGGAATCCATAATGTTAAAACTATTCTGACCTGTTGTGATCTTTATGAGTTCTTTGCAACAGAAAAATCACTTTATTGTTTTTCCATAGTCAAAAAATGAGTGAAAACTAAGAGCTGGCATTTTCTGTGGGGTGCCTTGAGTCTAAAAAGGTTGAAAACCACTGCTCTAGTGTAGCAGCAGACTTTTTTTCAAAATAATTTTGTTGAATTCTCTGCATTGTAACTTGGAAAAAAATATTTTCTTGTTTATTAAATATACTCTATGCCAGTGCTTCTCAATCGGGATTCCATGGCATTCTGGGGTGGCTAGAGGCCCTTTCAAGGGTGTCATTGGGTGCCGCACTGTTAGGTATACAAACATGATTTACAAGATAAACCCAGAGATTACAAACAGGAATCCATAGTGTTAAAACATTCTGACCTGTTGTTGCCTTTCTGAGTTCTTTGCAACAAAAAAATCACTAATATTTTTCTGTTTTTAACAAAATGAGCAAAAGGTAAGAGCTAGCATTTTCTGAGGGGTGCCTTTGTTTTAAAAAGGTCGAGGACTGCTGCTCTATGCTGTCTCTATTCAGCAACAATGTAGTATCTGCAACCAAATTCTTATACTGTTTAGAAAAAAGCACCATCAGAGGATGAAATCATCATGTATCATGCATCATCTGTGCAACATCTTGTTTTAAATTAGACCTGTATACTCACACCTATAATCTCTTCTTCCAACTGTATTCTTCCTTTGCTTATTTACAGAGGGTACTGTGAAAAAGATCAAAGTTAAAGCATTACAATATGCATCTAGTGCCTTCTTAACCTCATCACTGTAATGGTAGTAAATTTTAGCAGTAGCCAGTTTCCATAGAGTTTTAGAGGTATAGTTGTAGCTCAAGTAAACACACACAAGATTGGATCCTTTTGAATCTTTGAAGACTTATAGCAGGCTCACTGACTATTAGGTTTTACTGTCAATTTTTAAAAGTTTAATTAAAAAAAACCCCCTGAATATTGGTTTAGAGTGTTAACTTTAACAGATGGAATTAATGAAAGCAAGGCAAAGTTAACACAGTTGTGATTAATCTTTGTATGTGCTACATTCTGCTACCTTTTAGGCCAGGTTTGCATGAATTTTTTTATTGTAGCATATGTCAACAGAAGTGTGCTCCCATCTGCCACTGTATAGCTTGATGCCTGATATTCAGAGACGGGGCACAGCACAATACCTACCCCTGTAAGTAATTACAGGTGTGTTGTGAGGAGTGCAGTGCATTAATCAGACCCTTAATTATAAAAAAAGGTAGATCTTTTGTTCTGCCCTTGGAGCATGAGTTTACCACCCACTTTATGAGCTGCAGCATCCATCTGCTCACTCTTTTAGAATGTTTGCATTGACTGATATTGACTTTAAAATGTATCAAAGGAAGTGATTAAAACTAGTTTAAACATTAACTTGAGTGGCATTATAGCTCATTCAGAGAGGTGAAAACAGTCTGTTGCAATGCCAAAATTTAAAAATATTTTTAATTTTTAATGTGAGATTATTTATCGTTCCATAGATCATTTCGCGGTATGTTAATGTTAATAAGTATTTTCCTGGGTCAATACATAGTGTTAGAGGAGACTTTGATAGTGTTTTGAAAAGTATTAATGTATTTTTTAAATATCTAAAAATGAAAAAAGTGACTGAATTTATGCTGTTTTTGCTAACATAGGCTGTATGTGAAGACCTGACTTTTTTTCTGAGCATTTTTTAACCTTTGTCTGTTTTCTTACTTTTAATCTTAGAAATCTCAAAATTACGAATGAGTCCATATCACTAAGAAATGTTTCAAATATTATGTCGTCTTCAATCTGTAGTCTTTATTGGTTGTAAGGATTTGCTGGAAGTTTCAGAAAACATGTAGACTGAAACCTTTCTCACAACTTAATTGAATGAATGGAAGCATCTAATGCTTAAAGAGAGACTTTCTCTCAAGTCCATAAGTGACATAAAAACATTATTTAAATGAGTTTAATTTGGTTGATTCATTTTGCTACCTCTCGTGTAGTTTTCCAACCACCTACAGACTATTCCAAGGCAGACAAAACTTAAATTTTTAATTTAAAAATCAAGCGTGAAAACAATAATCTGTTTAAAATAATGGGATTTTTTTAATTTATTATAAAATTCAGTAAGGTGGTGGGGGTGGCAAAGCACTTAATTATTTTCTTTGGCATGGCGGGTTTCTCTTAATCTTGCAGTGGGAACAGAAATGGTTTTAAACTTGTACAGAAATCAACTCCCTCATTCTTCTGCAATAGTGATAATTGCTGCCAGGGATTTAAAATTTGATACTGAATTTTAAACCCACTCAAGTTTTGTGAACGTTGAACTTCACCTCAGAATGATCAGATCAAAATTTTGTCTTGATCACAAGAGACAGCGGAGGGTGGGGAGGGGAATGAAGCACAAAGGAGGGGATTTGATAGAATGCTTACCCCCAAAAAGTATACATGTGTTTGGCATCAAGTTGTGGCAACACCACTGTTACTAGTGTTCTAACCCTAACATATAACACAGGCTTCTGTTTTGGTGGTAAAAACATGTTTTCTTTTTAAAAATGATTCATCCTTGGGGGAAAAAACCTTGAAATATAACTGTTTAGGTTTAGCAGATTATCACCTAGGGGTGGAGGGAAGTTATTTTTTTATAAAAGATAGCAACAATTTTATTTTTGTGAAAGTTGTCTACAGGTACTTTTTGCATTTAACATTAGTGCATTTCTCAATTACATCTTTATAAATCCTACAAAGTTTCCACACAAAAGTTTAATCATGGAAATAAGGTACTGGCTGTAGGCTGCTATCTTGAACGACTTGGAAACAGTGCATTAGGAAGTCTTGTTTATTTAATGTTATGTAGCCAGGGAATGCTTATGAAGTATTATTTTAGCTTTATTTCATTTCTGATGCTATATCAGTTTATCAAACTTGAATATTTTGGTACATCTGGTAAGCATATAACAAAACACAAATTATACAAATTGCTACTTTCCTTTCAAATGTAGTTATAAATAAGAAAAAGCATGACTTTGTCAGAGCTAAGGTTTGAATTGTTACAGAGAAAGGGAATGTACATTTTCTAGAAAATGTGATTTTCTAGTGAAGAAATAGGAAACTGATCAGTGTTTCAGGGAGCTGAATAATATGTAGATTTGAGTACTTCTATAAAAACTTATTGCTTAATTTTTGTAACAGATAACAGCATTGTAAGATTTCATTGTTAAATAGTTTTGATTATTTTTTCTGGAAAATTGAAGGGTTCATTTCTCTTTCTTTTCAGGATATTTTAAATACTGTCATAAAGCACTGTCCACCCTGGTTTTTCTTCTTGGCTTTACCTGGTTTTACAATGCTGATAGGAGACTTCATTACAGCTGCAGCCAGAGTTCTTAGTACAGACATGTTGGAGGTGAGTATGACAATGCTCAACATCCAAGTTCCCAGGAGAGTGCACAGTTGCTAACAAGGTTCAGATTTCTCCACTCTAACAGGTGTTGACTCATTAGTGCCATGTGAAACTGGGCTCTTGGGGCAGATACCATGGCAGCTGATGTGTGAAATTGTAGGATAAGGTGACATACTAGTATTGCAAAGGTGTTTCATCAAAAGGCCAAAGTGTGAGAAATCATATCCTCACTAATATTGCAGAACATTTACACACTAAAAGCAGGACTTGAATTTCAGAATCTCATTAGCGTTTTACAGTGAATGAATATTGAAACTACAAAGCATTTTGATGGCACAGAATTTCTTATAGTTTATAAGGGATAATAACACCATTTCATCTAGTTTAAAAAAATGTAAATGCAGAATAACTACTAACATGCTAAGGCAGTGGTTTGCAGCTTTTTTCATTTGAAAATCCCAATAAATTTCAAATAGAGGGGCGGCCCCCTTTGAATTGTAACTGGATATTCACATACTTTTGATTAATCATAGTCATCTTTTGTGGACCCCTTAGACATAATCTGTGGACCCCCAGGGGTCTGTAGACCACAGATTGAAAACCACTGCGCTTAAGGTAATGTTAAAGTTCTTACAAGCTTGCTAAAATAGGAAGCTTTTATATAGGATTGAAAAATATGAATAAGTTCTTAAGACATACATTGTTAAGAAAGTTTGGATCTTTGGGTACAGGTATATGTTAGCAGAAATAGGCACACCATATGAAAGGAGAAGGAAGAAAAATCATCTCCAATTACAACAGAATATTGTGAGTTGTTTTGTCCTTTTGCATAGACCTGTTTTTATGGTCATCAGTGTATATACAGGCATTGGTTTGGTACAGAGCTGTCACAAAAATAGATCAAAAAGCTTTTTAGGGATCAAAAGCTTACCTTGCCGGCAAGTAGTACTGCAAGATGTTTTAAAATTGTGCTTCATATAAACATGTAAAAAAAATCTCTCCCACAAAAAACCCACCCGGTATTTCACAAAACAGTCATACTTACTATGTTGTATGTATTTAAAATAATACAAAAGGTTATCTGTAGTGCCAAATACCCCTTTGCTTTTGGCGTTCTGAGATGGCTTCATTGGAATATGAGTCTGTATAGTAAACATTTTTATATGCTGGTCTCTGGTCAATTCTGGTACACATGCTTTACTTCTAACACTGTTTTAAACAGTATAGTTGATGTCAAATTTACATATAAGACCCTCAAACACCCATTGTGGGCAAGAGTCTGAGAGGGTTGGTTTTCTTTTGTTTGTTGCCATGATGGCTGTGACATCACTGTAATATAAAAACAGAACATGATCATGAAAATTCATGCATAAAGGTAGAATCTGCAACTTCATGATACCGTTAATTTTCCAGGAGAGTCATGTAAGTGTAAGAGTTTGTCCCTGCATCTGACCATACAAGATCAAGGCCATAGCTGAGGTATTGGATTAGATGAATAGATTGTAGAGTCAGAAGGGACCACAATGTCTGACCCCCTGCCCCTGGCAGGAAAGAGGACCGAGGTCAGATGACCCCAGCCAGGTGACTATCTAGCCTCCTCTTGAAGACCTCCAAGCTAGGTGATAGCACCACCTCTCTTGGAAGCTCATTCCAGCTCCTGGCCACCCTTACTGTGAAAAATTTCTTCCTAATATCTAACCTAAATCCACTCTCAACTAGTTTACACCCGTTATTCCTCGTCACTCCCTGGGGTGCCGTAGTAAACAGCACTTCCCCTATTCCCCGTTGACCTCCCCTAATAAATTTATAGGCAGCCACAAGATCTCCCCTCAGCCATCTCTTGTGAAGGCTGAAGAGATTCAGCTCTCTCAACCTCTCCCTGTAGGGTCTATCAAGAAGGCCACTAATCATGGTAGTGGCCTTCCTCTGGACCCTCTCAAGATTCCCCGTGTCCCTCTTGAAGTGCGGCGCCCAAAACTGGACACAGTACTCCAACTGCGGCCTGACCAGTGCCGCATAGAGGGGGAGCATCACCCAGGTAGGTAGCAGTAAAACCCATAACAAATATAAGCATGTGTGATGCATTAATAAAAAATTGTCTTATGATGTCCTAAAAGGGTATAACATGCCATGAGAAATACTACGTTAGAACCTTTCCTGGGCCAGAAATACAATAAAAAACATACCAAAACAAGTAAATGAGGCAACAGTATAAGGGAGCATGTCTGAGAAGAGACTAGAGCATTGAACCAAACAGGAAAGGTTTTCATGGAAGAAATTAATTTTAAAGAGGGATCTGGAGGAGAGAGAGAGGGCACTTGTTAGGTGAGTCATTCCAAGTTTGAAAGACAGTAGGAAGGAATTGCAGGATGGTAGAGAGAGCCTGAGATGGGAAGCAGAAAAAATGTAGAGCAAGGGTAATAGAAGGAAGTAATTTACAACTTTGAGAAACCTGCCAAAGAGGTTTTGGTGCATCTCTCTCAGAGATGCACCCTTTGGCTTGGCCCATACTCAATGCACCTTTTACAGGTTTTGCTTGAAATGTATATTTAATTTTTTGTCGTCTTTAGTTGCTAGTTCATTTGACCTGTATATGTAGTTTCCTTGCCTTCTCTAGTTATACTGGCTCAGCCTTTCTGTGGCTTTCTTACCTTGGAAATATACATGTGATTAGTGTGTCAGGTCTCTCCAACACTTTTAACCATCACTTATTTTTTCGGCTCAGGTGTGATAGAAGGTTTTGATAGACTGTTATCATGACTGTTATCTTATGGTGTGGGTGTGTTATTTGGTACTGCAAGCACTCCACTGTCTTGACACCTAATGGGTTGCTGCAAGCCATTAGCAGAGTTGGATTTTTCTTGTGGCAGTCTTGTTACCACAACCCAGTTTTGCCACAGCCATTGTCTTGCATTTTTGTGCAAGAGACACTTCACAGTTTTCACATGCAGCACTCTCATGGCCTGCCTTCGAGTGGCCAAAGTCTTATTGACATTGACCATTCTACCCATCACTGACTTTCTGGCCCTTATGCCTTTGACATATGAGTATGGTGACACTCACTTCATAATCATCATCTGAGCCACTCAGCACCATAGTAGGGCTCATATAACAGCAGGGGAAAGAGGTCCTCTTCAAAGTAGGTGCCTTCATCATCTTCAGAAATGGATTCTACCGTACCATGGAGCCTCTCATTAGTACATGAGGATCCTTGTTTTACAACTGTCTTGGCTCTAGTTGGGCTCTCTTCTGCACCATTGCATTGTTCAGCGCTATGTATCCAGACATCAGCATTGCCTCTTCTCTCACTTTCCGCATCTGTCCCTACTTCTGTGCAGGGTGGATTGATTTAAATCAAATTATTTAAATGAACAAGCCAAAAGCCCAATTTAAATAACTGTATTTTTATCAACTTTCCTATTGTGTGTGTTTGTTTGTTTTTTAAAGACAGGTGTGTTTTCATTCACTGATGCAACAATTAAAATATGTTCATTTACAACTAAATACAGTTTTGCAGTAGATTTGGTACATACGTTTCTTAGGTACACAAACTATATATATATGTATATATTTTAAAAATATATAGCTTAACGTATTCGGATTGTTAGATATTCTTCATTTTAGTATGAAATGGTGCATATTTACAAATAATTTATTAAACAGTAGTATTAACTGTTATAGTATTAGAAGTATGAACTGTGATTTCTGAATTAAACCAGTTGTTTCATGTCACCCTGGGGAAAATTGTCTGGAATGCCTAAGTTAAAATCATTTGAATTTAAGTTCCTACTTGTTTAATTCCCTTTAAAATTAGACAGTCATTTTTTTACCAAGGCCATTTTGAAAATTGTTACCCCCTTTCTTTCAAAGTTTTAGAACTCATAAGCCTCATCCTCCTCCCCCTTTTTAGTAATAGACTGGAAGAGAAAAACAGGCTTTCCTGCTTTTTCAGCTCCTGGTCAATTCTCAGCTTTGAATAAACCAGTCCAAATGAAGAAAATATTCTTTCTGCACCAACAGAAGAGGCAACTGCAATCTCTGGTTCCAGGTGCTTTGCTAGTGACTCCACCAGTTCAGTGCTGTGACTTTCTTTAAAATATCCTTTGCAAACTTACTGCTTGAATGATTCACATCTAACCCTGAAATGCATTATGGTTGGTATGACTGATGGGTCACTGGTAGATGTCCATGTCATAGCAACATTTTCCTCTTCGGCAGTTAAGCATCTACCCTTTTTGTTAAGAATATCAGCAAGAAAATAAGGTGGAGTAAATGCTTGATCCATCTACTTCTTTACTGCTTGCAATGTAACTTTGCTGGTGGGTATTTCTTGCTTTGATGTTTCTTGAAGTTCTTTCCAAGTTTCAACAGAAGCCGCACGAAGGCAGCAATCTTTCTGTAGTTTGTCCAAGGCTCTGGAAACAGGTTTTAATGTATTCAGTATATCTTCTATATTGCTTTTTAGTCCAGTGTTTTGACTATTCTAGCTATGATACTTCCATCAGTATTATCATGATTTTCTTCACAGATGATCATTGGAATAGGCCAGTTCTTAATAAATAGCTCAAAGCAGTCAACCACTGAATTCCAGCATACATTTTAGGGAAGAATTAGCCTGTATTGCCCAGCTCCGTTCAGTGAAGCTGAAGCAAACTAGTTGTTACAGAAGTATTTTGCTATTCCAACAGCATTTCCCTTTATTCCTGGAGTACTTCAATCTTTGGTTAAAAGATGCATCAAATGAGCACTGCACCCATATGTTAAAAGGTTCAAGTTTACTTCATTATCTTCTTTTAAGTTTCTTCTCACCTTTGCAGCATTTGCAGCATTATCTGTGACAGAGCTACGCACATGATACTTGAACTTGTGCTCATAGTTTGTTATTGCTTTTACTGCTACTTTAAAAAAAATTCTGCAGTATGGGCATTTCCTGATGTATCAATTGTTTCTGTAAGATAAACAATCCCATCTTCTGTTGTCACACAAACACATATTACTGGATTGTTGTGTACATTGCTCTATCCATCAACACGCAAATAAACACTTTTCCCTTCAATGTTTTTTGCATACTGTTTAGTTTCCTTCTCATGCACTGTATCCAAAAGCCTTCCAGCAATAGCTGTTCTGCTGGGTGGAGTGTAACCTGGTCATAATGATTGAACATGTCAATGAAAAGTTTGTTCTGAACAAGGCAAAAGAGAGAATCTCTTGCATAAATGAACTGAGCAATCTTTTCATCTATGCTGTCTTGCTGGACTTTCCTGGTCCTGATTATTAAGTCATCCATAGTTTTACTTGATAGTGAAGAAAGTCTCTTTTTGGATACAGGGAATTCACTGTCTGAGGTGTATTTAGTTGCACTACTGCTGGTGGTACCAGTTGATGATTCTAAAGTTGTAGACATTACAAATGATGGACGTTCAAAATTTCTGCAGCTATGGCAGTTTTTTCCTCCAGTTTCCAGGTGTTGAAATCAAGACTGATCTTTTCTTCACAGAAAGTTGTTCCTTTTCCTATACTATCTGGAGCCCAGTGTTGGTCTTTCTGTTGAGCACACTGCTCCTTCTCTGCTCTCTCTCCCTCCTTCACACAAGAAACTAGCAACAAACCAAGACTGTAACTGTAACCCACCCCCAAAAAACAAAACCCTTCTCCGATTTCTGCTGAAATCCACGATTTCTGCTGTTGCCTTGTGTGCTGCAGAATTGTAGTTTAGAGAGAGAGTAGAGCACTTTAGAAGTTATTGTTTACATCTCTGTACATATGCAAAAGGACCAAGAAAGGCCATTGAACTGAAGTACCCAGAATCATTCAGAAGCAGGGAGTTGGTAGTTACTGAGCAGATGGTTGTTTTTCCATGAGCTGGGCTAAAGAATAAGCCTCCATTATGGATTCAGAATCATAAATATTCATAATTTATTATCTGAACTAATCAGAGCTCAACCAGAGAGACTAAAACAGGAGTTTGATACCATCCAGGTGAGCTCAGTGGATAATCCTGATCAATGAGTACAGATGATGCTGTCTGCTGGAGTCAGAGGCCAGGTTCCAATAACTGTGAGGACTTTGCTGATCCTTTGCATCCAGTAGTAGAAACCCTGCATCCCTTGCAGGGCCAAGCCTCTGATATGTGAAATATTGTGCCATATTTTTAAAGCTTGACCTCAAAAGTTAGATGGTTTTTCCTCTCATTCTTTTATAGAAGAAAATTAGCCTTAACTCCAGAGTTTTTAGTAGATGCTCCTTGACCCAATAGATTATTTTATTTAAATTATTTTAATAGATTATCCTAAATTTATCCTTTAGACTATGCTTTATTAAATTCAAATTTCATTTTAAGATGGTAGATTTTAAAAGGAAAACTTAATTCTAATTTAAATAAAATCAAAACAATCTGATTTAAATTTTAAAAAATAGATATTTAATTTTTTTTAAATCATTGATTTTTATTCACCCTACTTATCCTCCAGGTCCATTGACACTGCCCTTCAGTGTACAGTATCTTGTTCTGACACTGACCCTGACCCATTCCAGCATTCATGTTGCTGAGGGTCTTACTGAATGAATCATCGTGTGAACAGTTGTTTCCAGTGTCATAGTGCCAGAATCTATTCAGAGCTGACCACTGTATTCCCCTGGTGCACATGGCTTTGGATCAAGCCTTTACCCATGGAACTAATCCAGTGTTCCTGTTATTTGAGGTTGTGTGCTTCTTCCCCAAGGGATATACAGATCCTACTTGCCTCCATCTTGTTAATCTGGAACACTCATCCTTGCAAGAAAAGGTGAGAAAGCTGTTCCTTTCTCCAGAAACCATGCCTCCATCTGACCCTTTGGCAGATGAAGCCGAAGGTTTCCCAGACGTCCTTAGGTCTCTTGCCCAGACTTCAAACTCTTTTAAAAAGAAACAACTGAAACTTCAATGCAATCATTGACTGTCATTCTATGCTAACCCAGCCCTTTGAAAGTAATACTGCCAGTTTAAGCCATTCTTCTACTGGCCTGTGTCATTTGGAACTCCTCCTACCTTATCCCTATCACTTGAGAAGCATATTGACGAGAGGTATATAGTCCTGCTGTAGGAAGTGGAGTTTCAGTATTTTTACCCAGCTACTTTATTGTTGGTATTGGAAGCAGCAATAAGGTTCTCTGGATGGTGAACTTATCCCCATCACCCCCACGATGGAAAGCTGACATGTTTCTCCCACTCTGTCACATTGAGTTTCTAAAAGCATTGTCAAAGGGCCTCTCGTGTCAAAGATCCAGTTCCTCAATGGGATATTAATCTGGCCCTTGTAGTGCATACGCGATCACAGTTTAAGTGAATGGCAGTCTGTTTGACAGCCCTCCTGGTGGTAATCATTTCTACCAAGCAATTTACTTTGAACCAAGCTCTAATGGTAGACCTCCCATAATACCATCTTATAGTTGGACAAGGTGATTCTTCATACTCACCCGGTTTCTGAGTTTCAGCTTAGCAAATTTCATTATCAGTCTTTTTTCTCAAAGCTGCATGATTCAGAGCCTGAGGCAACCCTTCACGCTTTGGATGTGAAAAGATCTCTGGCCTGCTACCTGCACGGGATTGCAAACCACAGGATTGCAGGTCCCCACATCAATTTTCAGTCAAAGTAGAAGGGTCCAGCGCATCAGCTATTTCATGTCAAAGACTCTCCAGTTGGATTTCCAGTAATATCAGACTCTCATGAATTTGCAAAGGACCGTCTGTGATCCCCAGACACTCCAATAGAGTACAGGTACCTTGCAGTGCCTCCTCCTGCAGGGTCTTATGTTAGACATTTGTATAGACCAGTGACTGCAATTCACTTCACACCTTTGCTAAAGTTTCCAAATATCTACCAAGAAATCCCAGTACTGCAATCTATTGCGAAAGCTGACGGTATCATCACAGGAACTGAAGATGTCAAAGTGAAGTAACACTGTATTAATAATTTTTTACCTAACCCAGTGAAGCTTTATTTTTAGTTCAATAGTTCTTTTCACTGTGCTAAAAAAAAGTGCAAGTTTTTTTGGTTGCTATTGTGGAGTCCTGCTGGAATGACAGCACTTCTGGCAGGATGGTGCTCCTGTCAATCACTGCCTGAAGAGATGCTGAGTCTCCCTCTCCATATGTTATAGGCACAGCTTTTGGAGCCACCCACATGTGAGAATGTGTGCATGGACTCAAAAGGAGAAAAGGAAACTACCACTAACTGAAGTTTTTTGGGATGTGTTTTTCCATATATATGCGTGCACATACACATTGAAATTCTACTGTCCTGCCTCAGAGTCTGCCCCTCTAGGACTCTCCCATTGAAAGGAAACTGAAAAGCTAAAATGCTTTCCATCCTTTATCCTCTAGGTGCAGGAGGGTGGCAAAAAGTAGTTTCCAGACAAAAGGCTCAGGGTCTAACCCCACCAACATGTGAGAATGTCTGTGTTTTAAAGCACGTTAGAGAACTCAGTTACCAGTAAGCAATTTCCTTTTTTCAGACATTGGCAGCTGAATAAATGGTTCAAGTTCTAGAATTAGATGCCCAAATCAGGACTTAAATGCATGCAAATATTAAGTAATGCCAAATTTTGAGTTTAATATCTAAATGTGGGCTTTAAACAGCCTATTGAGTTCCCCAAATCTTAAGGATTTTATTTTAAATTAATAAGTTAGTGTCCATTTTTAAAAGGAGGCTTACATTTTGGTGTTAATAGAATGAAGCTAAGTATTTTATTTGTGGTACATACAGCATCGTCTATGCAAAATTACTATGATACTGCACAAAAACATCTAGCATTTCAGACCTTTCTGCATCACTAGGTTGAATATACAATATAGATCTGAGGCTTTCAGTGAGAGAAATAATTCAAGGTAGCAAAAATTGAAATTCTCCTGATGTCAGCTCAGAAAGCATGTAGCATTCTGTTTGTAGTTCCTGATTATTGTAAGTATTTTAAATTGTTCTCAAGGAACATGAATAACAACAACTGTGAAACTACAGAACTATCTAAGAGAGTTATTAATAATATATTGCACACAAACACATAGACAAGGATAAGTGAAAATTTAACACTGGTCTTAATATGTAGTGGCCTGTTTTCCAAGAGTGGTCACCGCTGTCAGTCAGAGCTACATTTTATCAGCTCAAGAGGCAGGTGTCTGCCTTTTGTTCTTGTCAAACAGTGGACCCCGAGGAATGTAGAAACAGAACAAACGAGATGGAATCTGTATTGTAAAGTAATCAAATCACTATGCTGTATACGCAGAGGTGATGCCTGGTTAGTACTGATGGAGGAGTTTTATTTTATGTACAAATTCAACAAGAAAAACGAACAGAAAAGAAGTCCAATACAAGGCATGAAGAATGTTAAGCATATCACTGATAATGTTACGTGATACCAATATCATACAATTTGTCATTTTTATAACATTATGAAAAAGATGTGTTTTTGTTTGTACCTATTTTCTCTCTAGGCCCCTCGTTCAGAAGCTCATACTATTCTTGGTTCTCTTGTTTGCTTTCCAAATATCTACCAAGAAATCCCACTCCTGCAACCCATCCTGAAAGCTGGTGATATCATCGCAGGAACTGCAGATGTCAAAGTAAAGTAACTTTATATTAATAAATCCTTACCTAACCCAATGAAGTTTTACATTCAGTTAAATAATTTGATTATTTTTACTATGCACTAAAAAACCCTGCAAGTTGATGAGTGTTAACTTGCTAATTTATAACTCCATATTAGCAATGAACTAAACATATGGTGTAAATACTTTTAACTTTTTATGTCACTTCTTATTTGGAGAGAGAACCTAGTTTTCTACTCTTCTGCCAGGTATCTGTCAGTTCACTTTAACGTTATATATAAATGTCACTTCTTATTTATTCCTGGTATGTACGTACATCTGTGGCAACGTATACTTGCAAGAGACTAGGGCAATTCATTTTTACTTATTTTTACCTTTTTATATAATATTAAAAAATAGCCTTTATGCAAGAGAAAGGCATGAATTTAGCTCAAAATATGTTTTTCCCAGAGCAGTAAATTCATTGAGACTCCATGTAACAATAATTGCTCTAAATGTGGATGTAAGGCTTTAGGGGTGTTGGTTGTGGATGTTGGGCTTTGTAATTCATGGGCCTTAATAATCATCTTTAAAAAATATTAAACCATTGTTAATTGAAATTAAAGTCAGCCCTAGTGGTCATCATGATTCTGATAGCAATTTTCTCTTTGGTAATCATGAGATATCACAGTAATTCACCGTGGAATTTGTATAAGGATGTAGGATTCCCTTCAAATGCCACATAGAATGTTAGAAAGTGGAAAAAGAAGAAATCACAGGACTTGCAACCCTATTCATTCCATGGTTATGATCTAGTGTTCTCAACTACATGTGAATCAGTCTGAGAGATTTGTCAAAAATGCATTAAAACAAGACAGATTCTGGGCTAGTCTGTTTTTTGAACCAGAGTACACCAATATTTTCAAATGTGGCTGCCCAAACCATATACACTTAAGACCATAGTTAGACATTTAAAATTACTTTGACTTTGAAGAGATACTGAGCACTCCTAGCAAACTGGAATAACAAGTACTTAGCAACTGAAAATCAGCTACCAGTAGATTTTTTTGCCTGTTTGTAATTTTAGGTTCCCCATTAAGCCATGCAAGTTTGTAAATTTTGGCTTATTTACATCCCGTAAGTTGTTCTCTTGGAAAATATATTAGAAGCAAACATCCCATGGTAATACATTGATACTTCCAAATTTATTTCACTTGTGCCCCTGTCAAAATGAAATATCTGATACACTTGAATTAATACAAAAGTATTTTTGAAAAAGTGCTTATTCTCATGAATTTTATTGTTTTAGTGTTACCTCATAAATATTTTATTGAAGAATGCCACTGATGAGCCAAGTGAAGCTGCAAGGTAAAAGACTGAATAAAAGAGAAAATATTGTGAAGTTTTAAGATAGCAAATCAAAATTTAAATAAGTGAGTTTGAAAGTTACAATTCTTAGAAGCCATTCAACTTGAAAAGTATTAAAAATAATAGCTTGGGTGATGATGGCATGAGAGGATATTTGAAACCAAGCATGTTACAAAGTTTTAAAAAGGGTTTGGACTTAAACATTTCTTTAGAAAGAGTACTGTAATCTGGTGGAGTTTTTTTTACTGTTATTCCTTGTTACCCTAAATGTAAAAAAGTACATTTCAGTGGAAGATTTCTCTTTTGAAGTTTTGTTTTGTGATTCATTCAGCCAACTAAATCCTACTGTCATTGACAATACATGTGAGATCATCCCTAGGACAGGTACCTCATACCTGCACCTTTTTAATATGATATTATGTTCAATGGAAAAAATATATTTTACTTCAAACAAAAAAATCTTTTTCAACTGTTGGCTTTAATATTTTTCATTTTATTAATTATTTTGTTAGGCCAAGTACATTATCTTACACATGTAAGACAGGTATACAGGTTACTGCACTGGCATTTTTAATATGTCTTGCAGTATATACAGTATGTTTAATTTTATCCTGATTTCTCTGAGGGGAGCATTGCTAGGTATGTAAATCTAACTTTTTAAAGAGCTACTTAGTTATGTGCCCCATTTCATCAAGAGTCAGCATGTGTGTACTCATAGGGCACATCCACACATGCAAGCACGCATGCTTGCAGCAGCTCAAATAGAAGAGGTGCAAATTTGAGCCAGGGCTTTTTGCCTCAGCATACGTGCCTGGACATGCACTTTGGTGTGGGGCAGATTGTGCCACTTGGGGCAAAATAACCCTGTCTGGCTTCTCCAGGATCTGCAGCCAGGGGGAGCTAGAGCCTGGGGCCAGCACCTGTGCTGTCCCCAGCAGTATAAAAAGTTGCCCTGTCAAGTAGCTCAGGGCTGCTCACTCTCAGGAGCTTCTGGGGCCCAGCCAATTGGTACCTGGAAACACAACCCCTTGTGCCAGCTGGACTGCTGAAGCAGCCCTGAGAATTTCCTGCACCCTGTACCCACTGCAGCAGTCTGGCAGTGGGGGCTGCTGCCTGGCTGTGACCTGCTGTGCACCTGCCAGACCTGGGTGGGGACTGCAGAGCCAGTAGAAGCATATGCTCCTTTGGGCCAGCTGCCAATGTGCTGTGGCTACAGAGTTGGTCTTTGTGTGGCACTAGTGCCAGGTTTGCCCCGTGCCCAGCCATCTGGGCAGCTATCACCCAGAAGATGTTCTGGGTGTGGTGGCCTGCTTTGAACTGTCAAAGCATGTCCTCCTGGCCCCAAGTGGCCAGGAGGTCAGCCACCTTCAGCTGGGTCCAAGGTGCCAGCTCTGAGCAGGCTCCTCTGCCTGTCTCCTTCCACTTGCCTCCCTAGCAGGAATTCTGGTGTTCCTTATTTGAAAACTGAAAAATCCCTGATAAAAAATTCCCAAAGCCACTCTGTAAAATACCCTGAAATCCATATTCTTCCACAATTAGAACAAAAGACCACTATAGTGAGAGAGTGAGAGACAGAGAGACCGCGATCAGTTGGGCAATATTTTATTGATATATCTACAGTGTTAAAGCAGTTTGGAAGCCCACCAGTGTGTCTATCATCGTAATGAAATGAATTCTAAATACTTATATGTTTAGCTGCCCCCCCCACAGGGGCTACAGCCCCCGCCCCAACAGGGTCCACAGGGCCCCCTGCAAGGCCCACATGCCCCACCCACACTTGCTCCCTTAGCCCCCTGAATTGCTACCCTGCCTGGCCCAGCTCCTGCAGCCACCC